AAAGAGCAGCAACAGCCTGAAAATGATGTTTCAAAAATTTGCATTCAGAGTTGTATCATGACCTGGACAAGAGTTCTTTCCTTTTGTTTCACTTCAGTTTTCGTGAGGGTAGTGTGAATTAGACCAAGGATCTGAACTTCTCCTTCCAATCGTCGGGCTCCAAATTCTCCAAGGATTGTAGGTCTGTCCCATGTCTTCAGCGGGATTGGCAATGGTGGCAGCAGCGGGCGGAGGAGGAGCAGCGGAGGAGTTTTCGCTACCCATGAGATCAATGCCTGACAACGCGTTTGTTGGAGTGGTGAAGGGAAGGCCGCTGTTGAGATTACTTGACCAAATGGAACTGCTGAATGGAGTGGTGGACCACAGGCCACTTGGGTTGCCAAGGATCGACTGCAGTAAAGAAAAAGCCAGGTGAGTAGCAGTTCGGTAACCTCTATCTTCACTTTGTTTATAGCTCCCCCGGAAGAAAAATATCTCAGGAGCAGCAAGCCTGCTGTGGGACCCCTTCCGTCTTCACTGCAACCTGGAGTTCTGAACTCCCTTTGCAAGAGCTTGCCCAGAGGAACCACGCTACTAACGGTCACCAAACGCGTCTGGTAACTGAATGGGCTGCAGAGCGCACTTACATTCCAGGCTTTTGAGCTGTTTTCATTTGAGCTTATATGTCCCCATATAGTTACTAATTTAAGCATTACTAGTATTCAAGTTTTAACACACGAGGGCCAAAAAGCTCAAGCTTAATTAAACTAGTTAGAATGAGGTAAATAAACATGGTTCAAGTCTCAAAACAACAACAAAATTCAAGTTGTAATGGAAAGTGGCAGTGAAATCCATTCCTTGATCCTTTTTTGGCTGTTGGCAAACTTATCTCCTTGTATTCAGAAGTGTCTGTTAAAAATTGTACATTTTGGATGACCCTACCTGCATTCAGCCCCACTGTACCTCCCTGTATTCCCAGTATCTAACTTTTCCCCCATCCAAAGTTTCTCCAGATGAAGAGAGGGGGGACTGGAGAACTGGCCATTTGTCAGGGAGTTCCTGTAAGCCCGTCCTGGCTGAAGACATCTGGAAGTCTCTGACAAACGGCCATGGTGCAGATGCCGGTGTGCTGCAACACATGTCACAAATGCATCTGGGATGCACAGGACAGGGGGTTGGACTAGATGACCTCTAAGGGTCCCTTCCAACCCAAAACATTCCATGATTCTATAGGACAGGTACAGCAAGCATAGAGAACACACGCAGAAATTAACAAGGCCCAGGTTTTGTCAACTCTTTTATTAAAGCCCAAACAGTAGCAACCAACAGGGAGAGGAATCTAGCCCATGGTGTGGTGGAAACCGATACCCGGAAGCAGCCAAAGATGGAGATGAGAAAGGTTAGCATAACTTTCATGCTAATATTAGCACAGAACCTGCTACACGTAGGCTTAACGCACTACATACCTCAGCACCAGTAGTTTTAATGTACGTGTGCTGTAAATTCAATTTGCAAATATACAGTAAACTTGATACATCAAAAAGGCAGTGGACTTGTTGAGTACATGCTGTAAGGTACAAACATCCTTATGGTTGGATTTACTGGGTGGAGAAAGGGCATCCCTTCCCAAGATCTCAGCCCTCAGATAATGCACACTTAAAGGTTAAACAGTATCAATGTACTCTACATCTGAAGATTAAAATAAAAATCCCTTCAGAAAAGAAAAACAAGGTAAGGTCTGAAAATGTCTTCAGGTCGGGATTTTACTTTCTCCCCTGGAACGAAGAAGATACACTCTGTCTCATCATACCTGAAACTGGTTGGACACTAACACATCACCAAAGGGTCCTCAAAGAATTTGGTAAATGAGGGTTGGACAGTGAGCACATGCAGGGGTTAACCAGCCCAACGTCATTAAGGACTCCCCAGTGTCACTGAGTAGTTGAGCCAAACTAGGGTCACAGTTTATTACTGTTATATAACCAAATGGTTATATTTAAGCTCTACGAGCATTAGACTACTAAGCCTAGAGCAGGAAACACTCATTCTGCCGCTCAGACACCAGCCCTAACACACTGAAAGTCCACTCTTATTTCCTCCCGTGGGCAAGAGCCAGAAACTATTCCTATGTGTCCCAGAAGCGTTTGGGAGAGCCTGACAGAAAGGCCGTTGCTGATAAAGTAGAAGCAACCAGGAAAGGAGCATCAGAGAAGGGTACCTTCGATTTTAGACTGCTGCTCCCTTTCAAGTCTGGTGGAGGGAGGTACTGAGTGGCTGTCAGACAGAACTACAAGCAGGGAAACAGAGGAGAGAAGAGTAAGGGACTGTGGATAGAAAGAAACTTGGGAAGAAGTACCAGCAATGCAACAAGGCCTGAGGGGAGACGGGACTCAGATGTCAAATGCTATTTAGTACAGAAGCAAAGAATTATGCATAAAATTGGAAAGCAAGAGGCGCAAGGAAGGAAAACGATCAAAACTGACTCCCCAGAAAAGAGGGTAGCACAGAGGGCACCACGCAAGTGCTGTTTGCAAGAACGGCTTTGGCTCTTGTGCCAGAAAGGAGGAAAGGGGAGGGCCCTGCCCTGGTACCTGCTCTCTCACCTAGCACTCAGCACAAGGAGGTACAGTGGTAGCAACAGCCAAGTTTTCCTGCTCTGGCTCACCATAAGCATTTTTAAAAAAAAACAAAAAACAACCCTATCATTAAAAAGGCTTTGAACATTTCAGTCTGTTTGCTGCTTCTTGTTTATTACGTGATCTTCTCCTTGAATAAGGCCCTAAAATGTTCCCCCCCAGTCAAAGTATTTCAAGGGAGAGACTGGCAATTCTTCTATACCATTTGTCTGGCTTCTGTCTTGATGGTCCCTGAAGCACACTTACAGGTATTTTTCAGAAGCTGCCAGGAAATAGACTGGGAGCTAAACAGATTGTTCTGGTTGTCCTCAATCTTTCCTTCTATCAAATGCTGAGAAATCTGCCCTCCAATGTGACCAAAAAGCAAAAATCTCTCCTTACGTAGTTTTAGCGAGGTTCCAGCTACAGCTGTAACCGCATGACAGGGGCGGGATCAGTGAGCGCGTGTCTATAAGAAGCCGTGTGACCTTCTTCGGCCTCCCCTGCCCCCTGCCTTCCCCCACTCCATCTGAACTGCTACCAGGTGAAGTAAACACTGCTTCTTACTCACTACAAAAACATTTTCAGAAGACAAGATGAACGATTTCAGCTGGCACTGAAGACAGCTGTTGTGGTGTAAGTTTTATTCTGACAGATAGAGAGGCACAAGGATGAGAGAGCAGCGCTACAATCTGTGTAAAAGCTGTTTTTTCTTCTTTGGCTATACTCAGGATCTCCATCAAAATTAGTAGTTAGTCCTTTAGTGTTTTTTCTAAGCTGAAAAGAATACATTTGAGGTCTTTTAGATGAGGGTTTTTTTGACCTTCTGTCAATTTATGAGTAGGTGCAATACTGGATTCAGGAAGCAGAATCGAAGTCTGAAAGTTACCATGTTGGCTATTCTGCAACTGTCCATCAAGCTGGAAGTGACAGAGGCAGTGCCCAGCCATGGCACAGGAGCAGAACGGCTCTTTCCACGATTCTGAAGCATGTGGGAATGGAACAGACCTTTCTAAGTGCTGCAAGATGCTCTCGGGAGAAATATTTTTTATGTGAAGCAATTTACATGGATTCATCATCCACAAGTGAGCGGTCTAATCACTCTTTGTCCAACAGCCATGCCAACTTAACTAACCCAGACTGATGAATACATACAGCTTCCCTTTGCCTTTATTCTTGACTTTTTTCATCCAAATTGAAAAAGCCTCTAAATGAAATTAGATGGCAGATACAGAACAGGTTGGTAACAGTACTAAAACGTTGTACTTGGACTGAATACTTACTGCAGTTGTATGAGTCGGGGAACTCGAGCTTGTTGGCCAGGAGGGTACAGAATCTGTAGCTGAAGGGTCCCAGATGGATGATGGAACATTACTGAATTCACTCCAGTTTCTCTGAACATCCTGCCCATAAGCAGATCGAGCTAAACCGAGTTTGCTAAAAACCTCTAAAAACAAAATGAAATAAAACTGAGTAAATTTCTCCTCTTCTTTTTCCAAGAACCACAGCAGACTAATACTCTTCACAGTTATTTCCCATCTTTTTCTAGCCAGTCCTGCTGCAGTGCAAGAACTGAGATTAGAAAAGGTCACGCAGCAATACAGATCTCATCTCACGTGCCCTACATCGGACAGCGGCTACAAAGTTAGGGTCATGGTTATCGTGGGGAAGTGTTATACGCTTCAGTATCAGCCTATGGGATTTGTTTGGGTCCTGGTACTATTTACCCAAAAGCAGTCAGGACAGTGGGCAGCAGCACAGCAACACTGAGAGTCCTGGCAGTTCCTCCCACCAAGTTAACTGCAGGTGGAGTAAGGGACTGGGGGCAGAAGGAGCCACTCGTAACAGCAGCACCCATTCACCTTGCAGCGCTCCCTTCCCAGCTGGTTCCTGGTATGGGAGGCGGCACTGGCTGTGCCCCAGCCCAGACCCCATCTCTGCTATGAGGAGAGGGCAGCACCAGTGCTCCTGGGTTGGCCTTTGTCCCCCGTCCCCCCTGAACTGATCTCGGGCATTTTACTGCAGTCCCTCAAGCCCGGTGCCGAGTGTTGCCGATGAAGATGAAAACCCCACAGCAGCAGCTGCTATTGATGATTGCAGACCTCCAGCATTTTTCAGTAGACACCACCCCTGTTCTTTCAGTAGACAGGCAATCCACTCTGCAAATGCCACATACAAAGTTGGCTTTGCTTATCATCTTTTGCAGACACCTTAAAAAATACCATGCATCCCCAAACACGGCATACAAATCTAGAGTAAGTATGCAGAGCATCCGTGCCCTACAGTATAGCCTGCCTGCATCAACCCTCATCTCAACAGTCACTTATGGAACGTGTACCTAAACATTTAAATACAAGAATTAATGTCTGGGTTTAGTATGCATCAGTTCATCAGGCAGCTATACAAATGCCAGAGGAAAACACAGGAGGAAAGCAACACGAGGGATGGGCCATTGCCTCACTTAGAGAGCAATGGTTTTATGCAGGCATACAGTGTTCAGGAAACCACAGGCCCAGGGGCACGCTTTTGAGATCTACAGTAAAGCTTCAGGGGGAGGGACGGAGGGGAGGAAGGCTGAGGAAAACAAATATCAAGAAATTTTACTGAAACCGAGAAACTTCAAACCTAAGTATTTCCAGCCCAATAATCACTCTAAGAGTTTCCACTTACTCCCTCTAGGCTGAAACACAGAATGCACTACCAAATTTTTAACACGTTTTCCTACACAGTCATCCTTTTTGGGGGCAGGGACGGGAACTCAGACCAGGGGAATGGAGACACACCATTTCTTTACCAGTATTTGAATATGGAAAATATTTGAAAAGAAAAAACTCACCACCAGTTAAGTTAAAAGAGTGTCCAAACGCAGAGAATGAATTGAGAGGCGTGAAGTCGGGACTGCTGGGATTGCTGATAGGACTCCACAAACCCGAACTAAATATTATGGAGTAACAGGAAAGCAATATACAACTCATTAACATGGTACTGCCAACAACATTGACTTACTAATCTATATACAAATATATACGTACAAATGCAGGTGTGTGTACATACATATATACATATGTATATACAATAATAATATATATACTTAACAATGATCAAGAGTTATCAAGGAAATTAGCTTGGTTTTGTTTTAAAAAAAGATTACAATGCTCTGTAATCTGTAGAGTGAGCTCCAGCACAAACCTGAGTAGCTCTTTTGCTCAGTTTTTCAGAACATGTGTAAGGTCCAAGCCATAGCGCAGGTTTTTTGACAAGCAGATAAAATCTAGAACCACTCAGAAGGGATACTCTCTAGCTTGTGGGCAAGCTTCTTGCAAATACAGCTAAGTTAACTGGAACCAGTGATAAACATTTACAAAAACAAACCAAAACCCCACCCACAAACTGCTCAGAAAAGCAGTTCCTTTGCATATTGAAACTCGAAGTCAAGTGTCTTTCCTATCCCAGAAAGGTTACCGGGCCCTTACTGCTTTTTACAACCAAGGCTGACCTGAGCTGCCAAAACATGTCAGAAACGAGAGTGGGCCTGGGGGAACATGACTGCGTGTGGCTGTAGTCTGCACCTCCTCCTAACACAAAGCCTGGTGACAGTTCTGGTCTCAGTGTTCAAACTGGGCGTGAAAGACACTGCCGTACAGCAAGCTGTGCTGCCTGTAAACTATGTCAAGTGACCTTGGTTCACACTCCTCAATACTGAAAGTAGCCAAGCTGATTTCTCCTTGTTTGGATGCCCAGGGAGCACAAGATGGTTGAGTTACTGAGAGTGAGGGGGAGAAAGTCACCATCACATCCAGAACATCCTTCTCTCTACTTCTGAGTCACTTGTAAGTTCTAAATTTTTTTTTGCAAGGTGAGAGATGCTGTGCCCAGACTTTAAAAAACAGGTTAAAAAAAAGAAAAGGGGGGGGGGGGGGAAACCAGAACAAATTCTGTCACTGCCTTCAAAATGCCATTAACAGCTTGCAATCTTCTTTTCTAGGGGCCCAAGTATTTACCCAGAGAATATAAAAAATTACCTGTCAGAGCCATCACTATCAACAACTGTGTGGGAAATGCTGATATTGCTGGAAACATCTGTCTTGCTTGGAGAAACCTTTGGTAAACCACTGCCACCTGCAAGAATATAATATATAAAATTAATAAAGAACCAAAAGAACAGAATATTTAGGAATATTCAGAAATATTTAGAAGTCCAAATGGGTTCTAAGTACCTGGGCTCTTGTCATAACCTGCAGCCACAGCAGCAAAAGTGGGGTTACCATTCCTGCCTGGAAGAGAAGCTGCCTTTGCCAGCTTATGTTTGGTACCATTAGGCTGCTTGCTTTTCGTTTCACTTAAAGGAAGGAAGAAAAAAAAGAAAAAAGTAAGGTTTTGGACTTCAGCAGTTTGATTAAAAAAGCAGCAATTTAAGCTAGCATTCACAAAAATGTTAACAGCTCAACACTTCGTGTAATTGTACGTTTTTCCAATCTACCAAGTAAGAAACCCCAGAAAAATATAAATAGCATGGTAAGATACGCACAGTAATATCTGCAAAAAAGCAGTTTCCATGGGAAGAGGAAATGGGTCTGAGAGAAGGGAGATGAACCGTGTGAAGCACATGGGTTCCACAAGTGCTCTGTGCTTGGGAAATCAGTAGGAGGTGCAGATTTAGACTCACTTGCTGCAGCTGCTGTTCACAATGCTGCTGTAAGTGCCGCCTCGTGGCCCAAAAGCTAAAGATGCGGGGGGAGGAGGGGGAGATGGAGAGGCGGGTGTCGGCGAGGGCTGTCGCTGCTTCAGGAAAGCATCTGCGTTCAGGGTTTGTAGAGAGAGTTTATAAAGGTTGTCCGTAGCTATAGAGAGAAACACAAAACACTTCCCTGTAGTATTTACTTTAAACAAAGGCTTCTCAAACCTGTGCTACCCTGTTTGTTCAAATTGAGGCATTACGGCAAAGGCTGTTCCCAGTTATTGAAGAAGTAGCTCCTTCTCTTTATTCACCTGTCACTATTCAGGTTCACTACCTACTTTCAGAGAGACTGCACTGCAATAAAAGCACCGAGATGAAGTGATCTGTACAGAACAAACCTTTGTGCGTGAGCGCTGTGGCAAGGGATGACTACACTTGCATGCGACCAAGAGGAAGGCGGTTCACTTCCCACACAAGGGACTTAACAACGCAACCAAAAAGCTTATAATAGTGCCCCATGCTAACCACTGCACTAAGGCACTGTCAGTGTTTCCTCTCCAGGGCAAATCATGTAATTAGTTTCAACTTTGGCTACAGCAGATTTGACCAAGAAAAACCCCGTCTGCTGTAGAAAACACATACTGTTTTCGAGCAGTAATTCTCACTTCCTCAATCTCCCCAGCAGCTTCTGAATCCTGTTCATCACTGAAGAACTGTGGAATGGCCCAGGTTCTGCCCATGCGGTTTGCAAACCTCCCAAATCATACCACACGCTATTAATATGAGGCCTACAGCAGAAAACGGGAGCACAACTATGCAGTGACAAAAAGACAGGAAGATCTACAAACAGACCAAGCCTTCCTATGGCTGTTCATTGCAGAAGACCAATTCTGACATCCTCTAGTGATTACTTACAGCTGCCAGCTTTGTGAAGAGGCACAGAGTCCCACTCTGGTGGTGGAGAATCCTTTTCCCCTTCTGAGCTGCTGGTGTTTCCTAGCTCCTGTCCAGAGCCACTGGGGAGAAATTTTGCTAACGCCGATGGCCTGCTCTCCATTAACTTACTGCTTGGACCTATTAAAACAAAAGAGGAAAAGCAAGTCTGTGGAAAGTAAACTGAACAGCTTTCTTCTCACCCCCGACTTAGAATTAAGCACTGAGGAGGGGTTACAAGCAACCAAATAAACCTCCCGAGGTTTTTATAAAAAATAGCCTCACACTACCTCTCGTTTTGGGGAGGTTTCTTGATTTAGACCCATTCGTCAAAAGGTGCTGTGTAGGTATCTTGGACGGAAAGGTTTTGCGCTGCTTGTTTTCCAGTGGGGGAGTACAAGACAATTCCAACGAGCTAAATGAAAACAGAGATCCATTTATTTTGAAGCTCTCTGAAGCGCTGGAGATTTTTTTTTTTTTTCTATATATATGCCATACAGTCTCACAGAAGACTGGTCTCCTGTGGCTTTCTTATGTCAAACTTGAGCTCATCTTCAAAGCTATTAATAAGCAGAGTTTTGTATTTCTCCTACATGCGACTTCACCCTTCCTAGCCCTGGCTCATTTTCTACCCACACTGCTCCACACATTTATTAGGGCTCACTCACCTTCCAGGAGAAGCTTTCATCCTGGAGCTCCAGCATTACAAAACCTGCTTGATTATGCAGAGGCAACAAGAGATGGCACTGCCGTTTTTCTACTCTGCCCCCACAGACTCTTGTTAGATCACATGGCTCCTGACACACTATTGCCCTGAATGTATGGGGTCATCTTTTAGTCGATGACATTCAACTACTCAAACTAATCACCAAATTAATTTGGCTACGTACTGTTCTTTTTCTCCAGCTATTTGCTTATATGTCCCAGTCTTTCTAGGGAGGAAATATTCTACCCATTTCTGGCAGAGAAATTCCGAACCAGCTCTCACTGGCCTTTGAATACTGTCACATGTAGTGAAGTTGTGATTTATATGATAAAGGAAAGCAGATAACGGTAAGAATAAATAAGAAAAAGAGGAGACTTTGTGAGGCAATGTTTTCACAATTATTTTTAAGAAAATGAATCTATCTCAACTACTAATCCCAGTTAGTCTAGTATTAATTACAGCGACAGGGAAAACGCAAGCCAATATACCATGCCTCAATTTGGTGAAGTTTACTTTTGCAGCACTTGGATATCAATCTGATTTTGGTATTTCAGCACACTATTTCAGAATGAACTAGATACAGTAAGACTAAGGTTCTTCATTCTTCCCCTTTCTATCATCTGCAGTCAATCACCTGCCAGTAAGGGAAAGGGACTGGCAGCAGCAGCAGCCGCCTTAATAACATATCCAAGACTCTGATCTTACTCTGTGATACAAAAAAGGAAACTACATGGCTGTGATTTCCCCAAGGGCAATTAAAGGCACTCATGTTAGCGCTGGCTTACTGTGCTGCCACTGGAAGCTCCTGTAGAAACATTAACCCTATTTTGTATATGTTACAAAAAGATTAACATCGCTTAACCTGATTTTCTTCTCTGGATTTAGTTCTCATTTGTGCACTGTATTCCCATTAAATAATTTATTATTTACAAGCGTCAGATACTCCCGGATACCAGGAAGGAAGAGAAAGCTGCTTAAAGGTATCTGCTGCTGGCATTAGCCAGACTGGCAACCACAACAGTCGAATAGGCAGATTTTTATCAACCCATCTTCCCTTCAGGCACGATGCCTTCTCCACCGAAAAGACGTTGTTACGCTTACCTGGTTTTCACATCTACAGGGATTTCTTTCTTTATATTTGATAGCAGTTTTTTCGTTTTCTGTTTTACTTGGACTATTTCATTTTCAGGTTTTTCTGGTATAACTTTTCCCTTTTGTTTTTCAGGTTCCTGTAAAAGACATTAGATCAACATGTTAATATTCATGAGAAGTAAAGTCCCTCTTCCATTGCAGCACAGAGTTTAAACAGCGCTGAAGAAAGAATGCTATTTGAAAGCATGAGCATTTTTGCAGCATAGAAGGTATCTTTTTACTGCTCAGTGAGTACACCTATAAAATGTGCTATCTATTTTTTTCTATTTGGAGAAGTAGAAATCGAAATACCCAGCAAGTTGATGTGCCTCAAGCAGATCTGATGTTGACAAACACACAGCTCCTCAGGCTACAGCCTCTGAGTCTGCTTAAAAAGATGCTAGGTCTGTATGGAGGCCCATACTGCAGCTGTTGGGCGCAGTACAGGCTGTCGAAAACAGACAAAGTGAAGAATATGAGCAACTTCGCCATTCAATTTATTGGGTTTTTTTAATTACACTTCTAAGACTTTCTGAATACAAATATACTTTCAAATAGCCAACCTGAAAAATCAAAAGTGATTTTCAAATGAAAACATTGTTAAACCATAACTTTTGAAATACAGTACATGGATTTCTTTTCTCTTTTTTCCCCCATCTAGAATCACTACCTTTTCCAACGTTCAAATTTAAGACAAGTCAAAATTTAGGCTTGGTTTTCTTCTCTTTGTGATTACCTTTGCTTTGTTTGGTTCCCTAGCACACGCTTTAGGACAAAATATTTAAGACAACCTGACCACTACACAAATTGTCAGGGCTTTAGTTTATTACCTAAAAGCACATAAGCCGAATGAGTAAAATAAAGGTAGGGGTATTGTCAAAGGTAATTAAGTTAACTACCTGCTGACAAGTTACCACCAGTGAACTGACCCTTTGTAACTGATGGATGTTTTTCATGGTTTTAGCATACACCCTAACGACCAAGTAATATTAGTGTCCATACTTTGCCTTTTTATTCTGCAAACAGAACAGGCTAGGAGCGTGCAGAGAGACAATTCCCACAATGCTGCTGACAACTGGTGGCTTATTCATGCCACAGTCACTCAGGCACTTTCTGTCCTGAGACCACATGATTCAAGCATATTCACACTCACAGAGGAGCAAATTTTATAGAGAAGAAATGAAGGCAAGGATTGGGAAAGACGGTTTTTGACTAACATTCTTCCTTTGTTAGGGATTACAGCGTAGGAAAGCTGAGCACAGGAGCCTCCTTTGATGAGCCGTGCCGTACCTCTTTGAGAAGTGGTTCTGTATCTGGGTTGGAGGTTTCGGTTGTGGTTGAAGAACTGTCATCATCTGCCAAGGAATCCTTCAGCTCATCCTCCTGTTGCTTTCCTTTCCCTCTTCTATCCTTTTCTTCCCGCTTCTTCTGTGGCTTAGCCTTGCGCTGAAGTGTTTTCCCTTTCCCTAGGGAGATAAGGATGCTTCAGATTCTCAGCAGCAGTACTCCGAGATGGGCTAGTTCACTTCATTTTAGAGGCTAACCCACGTGATTAAGCCTCTGAAGTTTGTCACCTGTTATGATACACCAACCACTTACAGCCACTTTACACCAAATGCAAGCATCAAACCTGAAGAACCCTGATCTCCACTGTCACATCTATGCTATGGAGCCCTACCTCTGCTGCGTCGGTGGGCACCTGGCTACCTGTAATTCTTCTCTGCTCTGTTCCTGGCATTCCTTTTAAACACCTCAGAATCCAATTTGACAGTTTCACCACGTAAGACTAGATTTAAACATGAACTTCAGAAGTTGGTACAAGCTTTATCATCTGAACAGATGAAGAACTAGAGTGGATGAGAAAAGTCACTGATGGCATTTGTCTAGCAAAGATGTAAAAAAACCAAACCCCCAAAGCCTGAAATCTCACACCCAAGGATACTTTCTCCTCTTGACATATTTTATTCTTTCAGAGTGTACTATTCTAAGAGGTATGACTAAGCCGAATGCAAAACAGTTTCGCTTGACACATTGAAGCGTTACTGCATCTCAAAGCAGGAAAACAATGCGTTAAACACTCCAGGGGATGTTTAATCAATTTTCTTGAAGCAATGCACATATAAATAAATAATGGCACTTGAACAATCGATTATGTTTTTCCTGCAATTTCTACAGGCTAACTGAAATGTAGCCTAGTATAAGTTCAAAATGTAGAGGTTTAAGAACCTTTGAAATCAAGTCAGAGGTCCTGGATTGCAAAATAGGAAGGATTAGGCACCTGGGGAGTAAAAAAGTTATCAAAAAAAGCATCAATACAGAGAAACCGTGAGTGCACATGTGTGGAGTCATCATTATCTTGCCATTGCCTTGCGTTCTTCTCTTACAGGATGACAGCATTCACAATATACTCATGTCTTTTACTAGATGTAATATACACCTTTACCAGTAAGATCTTCCCTAGATCCTGCCCCTCAGACTAAGCGTTCTCATTTGTAAGCCACACAGTGCCTGCATACAGCTTCCAGGATGGACCTAACAGTTTGCTCAAGTAAAGACTCAATTAACCTGTGCTGAGTAAGTGGATTCAGCCCCTACTGGGATTTGTACCAGCTCAAGTCAGTACTGAGCCTGGCAGCACAATGATAGCCATCACATTTCATCTGGCAAAATGTTCCTCGGGGAAAGTTTGTACCAAAACATAAATTTGCCTTCAGTATTTTGGCAAATACCAGATACGTATCAATGTATTCGTTTTTTTCAGACTTAACATCAAGGTTTTCAGTATCAAGAACAACAAAAATATTGGGAGATAAAATATTCTTTTTAGTGTACATGCAAATAAAAGTGTAAATACAAGTAGAGTTTTGCATGGAAATTTTTTAAAGGTCGGCTTCCAGCTTATTGGGGGTACTCTGCTTTTGCCTCAGAAGGCCTCGTTCTAAGATTTGCTTCAAATTTAGTCTTCGTTCAGGATTGCTAAACAGTTTAATGTACCTCATTAGAAAATCTAAGTAAAATGTAATCATGATATAAAAATATAACATAAAGCAGCTGTTTAACAAAAAACTGATGTGGGCTCCGCAGAAGCCTGCTTGGATCCAAGTATAAGAAAGCTGAAACAGAAGACTACGAGGATGGGAATCCTGCACAGGATGTTGTGCCAGCCAGTTTTAGTCCAGAAGCTGCTGCTTCTGTGCAAACGTTTGTGACTCGCTCTAGCTATTTATCTAAAGACAAACAGTGCGTGTATGTAGATCCAGACAGATAACAGAACTTCCCCTATGGTTTTACATTTTTAAAGAGGGCAAATGGAAATAGGCAAGTTTTATTTGATGCGCTGAGCTTTTGTCAGTCAAGTTATGGTTTGCAGATAATGTTGGGTTTTTTTTGAAAAGCTTGTCCAAAAAGGAGTCTGCATGCATAAATCTGATTTATTGATCTAAGATGATGAAGAGGTCAAGAAAACTATCTGGATTGCAAAATGTAACATTCATAATATATTTTGCAATACAGAGTATGTTTAAATAGTCAGTATACCACCATGTCAAAGCACAAATGAGGCAAAGGCTCTGTACCAGGAGTAAAAGTGTGAAGTTATCTGAATGAACATGTAACCAGGAGAGAGCTACAAAGCGGGAAAGTAATGCCAAAAAATGGAACCCATGTAAGTGATTAAGAATGAAGTATTTTACCATCATTTAAACAGCTTTTCAAATTGATAGACAAATCAACAGAAGCACCCATCTCAAGAAAATGCATTTAAATGTAGTTGAAAAAAATGTAATCAAAGGTCTATCAACACTCAGAAGCAGCTATTTGCTCAGACAAGCTCCCAATGCACAGACTGCTAGGAATTGCTATAGATACAAAAACCTGAACATAGGTACACCACATTATTTGGATCAGGAATTGCTTTTGAAGCCAAACTCAATGGTCCCCACACGCTTTGTAGCAGCTGCATCGTCCAGCAGTACTCAAGTGCAAAAGCTGGTTTCTTTTTAAGTTGAACTACAAATGGGAGATGCACTCCAGAAGCGCTCCCAGCCCTTCCAGGCACGCAATACATGGACCGGGTCAGTCCACCGTAAATCTGCTCAGACACGCCCCAGGAGGACGTTGCACCCTCACTACCAGCCATTTTGCTTTCCAGAGCTCCGATATGGTGCTATTTGCTGACACAGACGCTGCCTACAAAACGTACCTACGTCACGTCACTTTGCTGGAGTACCATTTAGCCTTTACGAAATGAATACCTGACAAACTGGTCATAATTCTCTTATTATGAATTCCCTTAACCACAATCCCCTGGTCTAAACTAAAAACCAAACGGCCTTCAGAGTCTCCACTTTGAAAGTCCAGATGCGCCATCACATCCATGCTGAACTGAGAACTTCCTGCTCATTGCTACTTAGCAGAGTGAAGCCTTCCTCTTTGGTGGCACGTGATCATACAGATGCTTCAGGGTTTACGTGCCTTCCCACCATTCGTTTTCTTAACTTTATCTCTAATAAGCAACACAGTATCAGTACCGTTCCTGTACGACAGTGTTGTTAGAAAAAAGTGAAAAATCATTTAGAAATAAACACTTTAAGATTAAATTTATAACCACATAACTCTGGGACAACACTGAAATGGCTAATACAAAAAACATGATAAGAAGTTCTGCAGTAACAAAATGTTTATAAGAAGGAAAATAACTGACATAATTTTAAAAGTCTGAATGTATCTAATGTACGACATTCAATACATTATTTTAAGCATTAGACAACTGAAAAGATGCATGAACAATTCAAACTCAACTCTAACCTCATGCAAAGATGAATGCAACTTAAACACAGGCGCCATATATTAATTTGCTGACCACCTGACACCAAGGATTTTCTACAACTACAAGTCCAGGCATGAAGAATTCCATTCCCAAACAATACCACAGGGGTTTACCCATCTCGCTCTCTTCCCCTCCTCCATTTCTCCCCATCTCAGTTTTCATAATACCAACTGTCCTTTCCTAATAAAAACTTCCTTTTCCTTTCCTCAACCCTCAGCCCCAAGTACAAATGATGGAGGTGGGAGGGATGGATGCTAACCCAAAGGCAAAGGAGTAGCAAACAAAAGCATCTTTCTTCAGAGGGTCAGATGTCTAAATATTCGTGCTTGCTTTCACCAAAATGTTCCAAAAATTTTGCAGGAAGAATCACAGTCTAACATTGCACGGAGAACTTCGCGGCCATAAAATGAATAAAGGAAGTGTTCAAGACACGGGTGCGTACAGCAAGGCAGGGTACAGCTGAGAAGCTATCACTTTCCACACTATGAAAACATGACCTTTACAGCTGATTAAATCTTGTTCTGTGGCTTACATAATGAATCATCCTGTTAAAAAAAGCAGAATTGTATTACCTTTGTTTTTTGCGAGTGGAGATGGGGGCTGCTCTGTAAACACGTCTGGGGAAGGGGATTCTGGGTGGTCAAAGTCTTTTTCCATGGTTTCTATGAGCCCAGTGAGATCTGAATCCTCCGAGCTGTGCCTTCTGCTGCTGGCACATTCGCCATGGGGTGGGCTGAGAAGTGGTAGCTGTGGCAAAGCACTTTCAGTCTGTTGCTCTTGCTGCTGGGGCCCGGATGCTGGGGGTTGCTGGAGGGGCTGCTCTGCCAAAGCCGGCGCCTGCTGCTGCGTTGGCTGCTGGTTCTGCCTCGTCCCCTTGGCTCTTTTGCCTGCGGCGTGAGTCTGAGCTGGGGCACCTGAATCCAAGGCAAAGGGGCCCGCTCTGTTCACTGACTGCATGGAAGCTGCTTGTGCTGAAGTCCTATTAGGTACGCTTGAACTGGGTTTGGATTTGATGTTTTCAACATCAGGTGTGTTTCTATTGCTGTGAAGGTGTCCTGTTGCATTGCATTGTTTGTGATTCCCTGCACTGGATCGTGAAGATGAACTGCCTGCTCCGTAGATCCCTCTGGATGAACCGTGATTAGAATCGGATCCAAGCGCATTCAAGCTGAAAGAACAAGTGTTTAAATATACTCTACAGTGTTTCCACTCTTCCACATGAAAAAAGAATCACTATGCCCAAAAGAACCCTTGAACTACACTGGTTTTGGCTTATAACCAACAAAAATACCTGAAACTTGTTTGACAAGTCGGTAGCCTTTGCCACATTCACTTGCTCACTGTATGTATGAACGAAAACAGAGTAAAATGACAGTCAATACGTATGAACACTGAAAGGAGATGATTTTTTTTTTTTATTTAAGACACCAAAGGTGTGGACTTCTGGCCTGCTATTTTTCTGCAGTCTATATCTTTCATTTCTGACAATATTAACAGGAAACTTGACAGGGTTTGGTTTTGCTTGTTTTTTTGTTTTGTTTTTTTTTCTTTTTTTTTTTCCAAAAGATGAATATTCCTCACAATCACAAAATCCAACTTTTTAATCCAAGCCTTCTTTTTATAACTAACTGGGAGGATCTTTATTCATTCATCTGTTTAAGGAGCAGTATTACTTTCTTACTGGCCTTATAACTAAATAAAAAAAAGGGGGGGAAGCATCCCACAAAACCCCCCAAATGTATACTTACTTTCCATCAGATGAAATTCCAACTATTCTCCTGAGATCAAGTGGCCTTCCCATATCAAAGGGAGGGTTTGAGGCCTCAAAGGACAAGCGTCTCCTAAATGGCTCCCATATCCCTTGAGCTTCTAGATAGGCTGTTCCAATTACCAAGAGAAAGAGTACGCTGCAGGGAAGAGAGGCAGTCATCTAAGCATTTCTTAGCTTTGAGCATTTTAAGGTTAACGAATTAAATCACACAAGACAAGTTTGTATCTTGAACTGAAAGGATGAAAACTGCATCCAAACCACAACTTTGTCTGATAAAAACATAAAATACACAAGTCTGGCATGATACATACATCAGTAATACTGAGAATGGAAGTTAGGTGCAAGTCTGACATGCAGTTGTGAAGAGTATTAATCCAAAGGAAATAAAGAGAGATATAATTGAAATACTAAAATGGCATCCAAGTGGCTGGCAGCTCTCACAGTTTGTTGGTGCAATTCCATTTTAAAAGCAGAGACCCTCTGTAGAGAACTGCACTGCTGCTCAGAGACGTAAATTTTAAGAGCGTTATTTCAAGGAGTTTTACAACTAACTGCATCTGCTGCAATACCGTGTTTAGGAGTTCTCCACTTACATAACACACTGCAGTGGACTATATTTTTGAATGAAGCAATAAAACCACTGCAGAGACCTTCATCGCACTGCTATCGATTTCATCTTGTAACAGGTGGGAGTTTCGGGGGGAAGAGACACAATGACGATGACTAAAGCTTGCCTATTACCCTAGAAAGTTTATGAGAAAAGAACTTGAAATTAGCAACTTCAGTTTCTGTTCTCCCCCCTATTCTGACTGCCAGTTTTTCTAAGCCACATGCATGAAAACCAGCATCAACTCACACAAAAAGATGAGATACCTCTTGCTTAATTTTTGCTAAAAGACTCTAGTCTAGATATCTTTTAAGTTTTAGCTGTCATCAAAAATACAAGCAACTCTGGAGACCAACTCAGCTGTTGATAGCTTATCAGTGCTTTTTTCCCCTGCCCCGGGGATTAAAAAGGATTATAGATGCATAACTAGATGGCAGAAGGTAGGAAAGATAATTTTCAGCCAAGATGTTAACAAGCAACAGAAAAGTTGAAAAAATAGGGGAATTTTTCAGACAAGCTTACACAAACCGTTTCTCAAAAGAGTAATGATTGCCTTGGGTGCCATGCCATCAAAACCAGAATTACCTTTGGGATGTGAAGAATAAGATATAATCTCTTTCACTTGTTAATTGCTATCCATGATGCTATTTGAAAGCTTCACAAGACTGATGCCAACCAGAAAGCATCGCATCTCTACCACCATGGTGCTACACAAACTTGGGATGGAGTGCACAGGGTTTTGGTGGGCTCGTGGGCACTCTTCCCCCCTCAACCCAACAGCACTGCCCTCGTGGTAACCATGCTGGGCTCCGCAGAGATTGTACAGGGGAGGCTGCAGCAAAAGGTCACCTTGAGGGCTTCTCCTCCTCTGCTACTTTCTGGTAAGGACTCTACTCCCTCTAAGTAAGCCAACACAGGTGTTTTGATAAACAAATACCAGCTTTGAAATGAAAACCAGAACAGATCTTGTTTTCTGGTCTTTTTAACTGCACTTTCTGGTTTTGGTGTGGTTGTGGTGGGAGCAGTAGTGGTTTAGGTTTTTTTGCTTTTTAAACCCCCTATTATTTAAAAAGAAAGAAAAAATAAAACTAGTGTAAAATGTTCAAGTGATTTAAATCACAAACCAATTAGTGTGAGGAACACCACACTGTGGGGAGTAACATGGTCTAGACACCCAAAAACTATCTTGGTACATCCCTCTTTCCTCTCACAGTTTTATCCTGGAGCACACATATGCCTAGCTGGCAAGCTCTTCACAGAAAGGACTGGCTCCTTTGTCGTGTTTGTACATATCCTGTCAAGTTGGACTTCAAAACTTGGAGCCACAAGTATGGTAACAATCCAAACCAATAGCGATTTAGGGAAGGCAACAATTATCAGATTAAAAACATGAAGGATACACTCCTAGAGTTGTTAATTCCTAGAAATTAAGGATACCTTTGCAACAGTATGGAAGTATCCTTTAAGTGGCACCTAGCAAACCCCTAAGTGACAGCATCCTAAAAGTCAGAGGCTGACTGCACACAGGACTCTTGGAATATTATGAAATAGTTACATCAGGACTCTTTCCTAGTTTGCTGCTAAGAAGGATGGTTTGTGCTCGTAGGAAAAAGATATAGTGAGTGAAAGGATTATTAGTCTGTAGTCTTTCGTGAAGTCTAATTAACAAATACAGTACATATAAAATTATCCACACAAACTACACTTATGAGCTGACAATTCACTCTGTCAATAAACTAAAGAGAAATGAAGCTTATACATTTCTAGCAAATATACAGAAAAAACCCCACTTAAGTACTTATTCAGCACTTTCTGAAGTAATGCAGTGTTAGTTAGGAAACCTAAGTAACAGAAATTTTCCTGTTACTTAGGAAAATGCAGTTTCCTAGCTAACACTGCATTAATTAGGAAAGCACTGAAGAGTCAAAAAAGAAAATTAAGCAAGCTGTAACTTTAACATTTCTATTTCTTTTATCAGTCCCTAGAAGGAAAGACAGCCTAGCCAAACAATTATCTAATACAGTACAGCAAAATAGAAGAGACAGTATCTTAACATGGGGGGGAAAAAAAAAAAAGCAGGTATATTACATATCTGGATCTGGATTTGCAGCACACAGAAAGACCACTTTTTCATCACAGGCATCTACAGCAGCAATCCATCTCACGCTAAGATACAAGCTTAACACTAATGAAAACGGGAAACAGCATTTGTTGTTACTGGTAAGTAACAACTTTTATGTTTCTACGCTGGGGTTTTCTCTGGATAAAGGCAGAGGGGGAAAGCGTCTCACATCCAAGAGGTGAGCAGGGACACGTTGTTTATAACCTCAGATTGCAAATAGATACAGATAGATAGAGGTTAGTCTAGGAAAATGCAGTGGAATTTTCAACTCATATTTCAACCAGTCACAGCTAACATACGTCTGTGTGATGAGTTTTTTTAAAAAGTGCATTAATATGATACTACGTAACCTTTGAGCGTGCAGTGCTGCAAACAATGCCCTCCAGGTTCTCAGAAATCCCATTATTAGTATCACCAGTTGTCTGCCACACACAAGTGGCAGCAAAGTTAAATTCATCCAAGGCATCTGCTAAGCTCATTACAGCCACTGCCTCATATCTCTAAAGCACAATACTCCAGGAGGATGCTTACATTTCTATGGTAATTCACGTTTAGCAGTGCTTTAATACCTCATTTGATTCAAGTTTGGCTTAATTATTTACCAAAAAACTACACATTACCAGGGTTAACAGGAGTATGTATCTCACATAAGAAAACAGGCCCAAGCAAAAAGTATGTTATTTTGTCCTCAGTTTGAGCAGAAAGTCAGTACTCCTCAGCCTTAACTGTTCACACTCAATCTACAGGAGCGTTTATTAATTTGTTGTCCTTTTTCACCTCACCCTACTTTATTTTACACCAATTACAGCACGTACTGAATACATATATACTTCTCTGTGACCTGTATTCAAGCAGTGGTAGTTCATGCACGTATACCGGTAAGAACGCACACATGCGCACTACCTCATTATTCCTGAGATGATTACGTATAGTGCCAATTCCCAGTTGGGCCTGGGTAGCGCTTCTGCACATGTTGCCAACATGTGATATGGAAGGGATGCATTCAAGATAAATACGAATTCAGAGCCTCCCGCAGTGATGAATTTTAATTCACGTATGACTCTGGAAGCAGTGAAATCAGGTGTAAACCTGAAAAGCAAAGTAAAGCACGTTAGAACTTTTTATATGAACAGCATGAGAGTTTGAGATAATTTGTATTATTCATAAATAATAATACCCCCTCCAAGCTCCATCAATTACTGCTATGACTGGTATCCCAATCAAACATTTATAACAAATATCCCTAGTAGTATGACTAAGATTCATCCACACAGTTAGCCTAACGATACTTACAAGTATCTTTCAAATACCTCAAGATGTGTTTGACTAAGTTCATAAACACCTATGCTTAACACATCTGACACACCATATGAAGATATAATAACTGAAATTAAGTTTTGACCAAATCTGTTAAAAGAAAGCTATGAATGCAGTGAAAAATTAACAGCAGCTGTAAGCAAGCAATGGAACAGACCATTATGTGAGCTATGAAGTTTTTAAACACTTCACTTTTAAGTCACAACTGCGTGTCTTTTCACCAAACCAAAACACTCAAAGCTTAAGTAAAAAACCACGGAATTTAACCAACAGTTTTCCTCTGAAGCAGAATTAGGTATACAGAATTCCTAATGTAACACTCCATTTAGATGTAAGAAAAAACACTTACAGTATGACAATGTCTTTAGAGGCATTGGCACTTAGTGCAAACTCGTGACAGTTAACTACTTTAAATCCATATCCTTCACATGTATAGCCACTGATTTCCATAGTTTTCACATTAATCTGCAGCTGCCCTGTATTTTCCACTTTAAATGTTCTTCTCAGTGTGAAATTCGGTTCTTTGTATTTCATTTCTAGAAACAAACAGCAGAAAGTGGTTAGTGTTACACTAAACAGATATCCTTCACTATATTCATGTTCTACAGTAGAAGAGAGTTCTGTCAGTATTATCACAGGAAAGGGGACTAGCGAGGCCCATGAAAATCTTTCCGTAACCTGCAGAAACAGATCTCTGAAGCCAGATTCTCACCGCTGTCAAGGTAGGGCACTTGTACAATTCTAGAGTGCTCTAACTCATCAGGGAAAAAACACAACCCCCCAAGCCTCTGACAGCATTGTCGCCTCACAAAAAAAATCATCTAAGCTGCAAAGTTCTTTGACGTGCTGCTTCATATTGTGGTGTTCTGTGAAAAGTCCCAGCATGAGGAGAATAAAAGCTTATTTTTTTGTGTCTTAAAAATACAATCTGTGGCTGAGCTACACACGCTATTTGCAAAAAAAAAATAATTCCTAAACCACAACATGTAAGCGGTAATGGCTAAGCTTTACTTGAAGTTTTCTCACTCGTCCCTCAAAAAAAGAAGAACAATTTTAAGACAATAATTAACATGGCACATTACAGATCTGTCTGGAAATCTGCAAAGTAACAAAGCAGATTTTACCAGATACAACTGAACCTTTTACCAGTTCCTTTGGTGATACAGGTACTCTTAGCTCTCCTCTCGGAAGCCAGCCTGGAGCCACAGAGAAGAAAACATCTGACCCCAGAGCAGAATCTGACTGGGATGTAATTTTCATCAAGGAACATACCCTACCTTTTTCCCTGTTGGCTATGTGCAAACAGACTCTGAAGGTGTGAGGGAAAAAAAATATACAGAAAGTTGCATCTGTGATCCAATTTGACTTAAATTTAGGAATTAGAGATTATCCTAGTAAATATACTAGGATCTTCACCTCCCCATCTTGAATTTTAGTGGATGAAGGGCTTTCATTTCATCTTCCCTAATTTTCACATTAAAATAGAAGAAGTAAAAGATTTTGGGTTTTGCCCAAATGAAGAAGCAATTTTAATGTATTTAAAGGAATTAAATTTCTGGGGCACTACAACAGGGAAAAAAAAAATATTTCCACACAATTCAAGTTGTACATGTAAAATGCGGTTTCTTTTCTGTTCAGCATAGTAGCTCAAGAAGTACTCACTTTCTGAACAGTCTTTTAATAATGCTTCTGTGATTTTAAAGCGTAAAGAACTTCCTGCACTGGGAGGTTTGCCTGCAACCTTCAAGCTCTCAGTCGTTCCTTGTCCTTGTACCATTATGGCATCTATTACAGTCAAATTATTTCTGTGTACAAAGAAAAAGGGGAAGCATTCATAAGAGGATTAAGCAGTCTATTGCTCCTGTAAGCTTCTCTACAGACCATGAAGTTATATCCCAAATCCAGAGGACAGAAATATAAACAGTTGCACAGCTAATTCCCCACAATATCGAAGTAAATAGTGGGGGTCTCAAACATAGTGTTTGCAAGACAAAACCCTAAGAAATCGCAACATCGCGTGCAAAAATAAAAAACCAATGACGTACTAAAGTTTGTATTTCATCATCGTGTTAATGTATCACACCTGATACAAAAGTGAAATAGTTATTCAAACAGAGCTCTTCACTAGAAAGACTGAACTTGCACTGCAGCTTGATCTTGCAAATGGCATCTATAACTAGAGTCCCTACTTTCAAGAGAGTGTAATATGTATTTAAGAATTCAGGTCTCCAAGAACAGGTGGATGAAAAGCTGGACACGAGCCAGCAATGTGTCCTCGCAACCCAGAAGGCCAAACCTATCCTGGGCTGCACCAAAAGCAGGGTGGCCAGCAGGCCAAGGGAGGTGATTCTGCCCCTCTGCTCCACTCTGGTGAGACCTCACCTGGAGCCCTGCGTCCACCTCTGGGGCCCTCAGCACAGGAAGGACATGGACCTGTTGGAGTGGGTCCAGAAGAGGCCACAGAAATGATCCGAGGGCTGAAGCACCTCTCCTATGAGGACAGGCTGAGAGTGTTGGGGTTGTTCAGCCTGGAGAAAAGGCGGCTGTGGGGAGACCTGATTGCGGCCTTTCAACACTTAAAGGGGGCCCACAGGAAAGATGAGGACAATCTTTTTAGTAGGGCCTGCTGTGACAGCACAAGGGGTAGGGGTTTTAAACTAAAGGAAGGTACATTTAGACTGGATATAAGGAAGAAATTTTTTATGACGCGGGTGATGAAACACTGGCACAGGTTGCCCAGAGAGGTGGTGGAGGCCCCATCCCTGGAAACATTCAAGGCCAGGCTGGATGGGGTTCTGAGCAACCTGATCCAGTTGAAGATGTCCCTGCTCACTGCAGGGGCGTTGGGCTACGTGATCCTAGAGGTCCCTTCCAACCCAAACCATTATAACAGCATATTTATATTAGAAAGTACGTACTGAATACATTTAACTACTGTAAAACATCACAATTACATTTAAATTACATCTTTCTCCAGACACATATGATTCTACAATAATTCTTGTAAAAGTGATTGTTATTGACAGCTGATCACAAGTATGATCTTTACATACAAATAAAAAACATCTGAAAAAATCCACAGTAATTTTGGAAGTATCTATCATACCTGATAACAATTAACGATGAAACAGTTTTGTTAAGAACTGGAGTGAACTTTACTTTGACAGACTTTCTCTCACCAGGTTTTAATATTAGGCTTAAAACTGAATGACGAGCCAGGCCCTTTGGAAGTCCTACAGTGCTCTGTAGTGGCTGGACCTGAAGAGAGTGGGGAAAACAAAGTAACACTTTTAAATATAGGAAATTTTTACATATATTCGAAAGAAATTATATTATTTTAGCTAGAAAATTGGTCTTGTCAAAGAATTGTACTACCCAATGACATACACTGTTGTTTTAACCAGAAAGTTTGACAGCACAAGTATTTCCCTACTTAGTAAACTACCTGTGTCTGTTAAGAAGCAGAAGAACACAGCAAGACAGGACTGAGCTAAACTACACCCATGTGGATTCATAAAGCTCCAGAAGAAGAAAGAGTTCAGAAGTTCTTAAATGTATTAAATTTAGCATTTTACACTAAATGAGCATTAAGCCATGATGTAACATTTTCTATCCTCAAAAATTTCCATTGTTAAAACATTTTTAGAATATATGAAGGGGAAAAAGCAAACTTAAAATAGAATAACTATTGAAAAAAGTGTATTTTGCCAAGTTTGCCTTTTGATACTGTGCAAGCATCAAATTGCTAATCTAAAACAAACTGCAAATGGAGGGGAAAAGGCATATATATCAGATGAGAAAAGGAAGTGTTCAGGATGTGGCATGCTCTATATGAAAAAAGCACACATTTGAAGTTTTCCACAAAATTGAATCATTTAAAATAAAGAACAAAGCAATGGAAAACTCAATACTTCACTAATTTTAGAACTAGCAACCACTGAAGAAAATAATCCTCTATCAGCAAGAGAATGAATACATGCAGTTTTCCTGTAACTTCCACAATCATGTTATAATGTAAGCATATAGAAAAAGCAACATTCTAACTATTACATATGAAGAAATACTACTTTTCCCAGATCCCTGAAAATATCCAACAGAAGCAGCACATTTGTCACACATTGCAATATCTAAACTTGAAGACATGTATGACTGAACTCTTACTAAAACATTAAAATACCTAAATTTAAAAATCTAAAGAACATATTGGAATACTTACACAATTTCTGAAGACCTGGAACTCTAGAGTCCTCAGATTGAAATCAGTTGGCTTACTCAAATTAAATCTGAAACAGATATGCAATTTTTTTTTTCCCCCCACAGATCAGGGAAGATAACGACATACTCTCATTTATGGATTTTAGTACAAATCAAGATCTTATGACAGGACTCAAACAATATGCAGCTGAAAGGATTATTTGTTTTTTCTTATTTACCCCCCTCATACATCAAGTTAAGGAAGGAATGTAAACATTTTAGCTTAGCAAAAAAAATACAGATGTGCATTCAATGGCAATCAGCTTAGATTCAGTCCTCAACTGGCCTAATGATTCAAATTCTAGAAGTGGCCAACACTATAACTACCAACACAGCTGCCAAATACTGCATGCATTTTTTGTAATTGCATTTTGCTGTAGAGTGAGACTGCCCTAAGTACTCTCAAACAATACTTACCGTTCTAACATTTTATCAACAAAGGTAGATGGGTTAGAATACAGAGCTACAGGAAGGAACTGAATGTGCACAGGAACGTCAGCTGGATTTTCTAGAAAAATTTCTTCTTCCTATTCAGAAACATAATTTTTTTTAAAGTTTACATTAGGATTAATGTAATTAGAAATACCAATTAAAACGCAGTCCTTACAAAATGACACTATCAAATGAGTAACTTACTGATGAGCTGTTTGTATTGGTGAGAGGGAAGCTTAGATGGCGTGGTGAGCTAAGTATGGAAGGCCAGGCCATTTCTGCTGTAATTTTCAACTGGACATCCTTCTGAAGATCTGTGTCTACTTCAAATACAGCATTCAGTCTGGAGAAACAGTAATAAAAACTTATCTTACAGAGTAAAATAGGAAAAGCCTGGAAAAAGCAGAGGGCTTAAAAGCACCCTGAAAGCAACATTAGTTTGAGAAATAGCACAGTACATTATATTTATATGCAATTAAAAACCACCATTGAGCTCTGTCTATATGTATTGCTATTAAAAAGCACAACAGAAACCACCAAAACATGCTATAGAAGACAAATCCAAAGATTCTAAAGATGTTCTCTGTTAAGTATTGTTGTCAACATCCATCCATTCCAAGTTCTGTTATGGCCTATTTATGGGTAAAGGTGAGCAGAAAAACGTGGTAGGACTTATGCACTGTATCACAAATTTTTTTGTATTCGCACTTCTCTTAAATCTCTGCTCTCTGGACAGTGAGACACAAATTTTATCTTTCATTAGCAAGTGCCTAGCTCTTACTATTGCAGAAATAAATTTTGAGAATATAACTGAGATTCAGATTAGTAAGAAAAACAACCCAAAATATATTTCATGATTTGCAAAGGTATAAACAGTAGAAAGGAAAAATCTCAGTCCTGCTACAGTTTCCTTCCAATACAATATCCAGATGTCCGCTATCCAGGAAACATATTGTGCCTGCACGTGTGTAATGTACAATACATCTGTACATGTTCTTTAGCTGCAATGGGTACACAGAGTATGTGCCCATACTACTAACAAATCTAAAGCAAATCTAAACTGGTCACACTTGGTGCCCACTACTATTCCCACCAGCGAATGAAGTTCTTTGCTATTAATCAACCTCTGCAACAGACTTGATTCCTGTTCTCCTACAATCTCTCCACGATGAGCTGAAACAAGACTAACAGTACTGAGTCATCCAGCCAGCAAAACAGATGGAACTATAGACTTCAAACCTAGAGAAGTTTTTGGAGAGACTCCAAATGCCCAAGTCAGAACCCCTCTGTATTCAAGAAGTGGTTTCTCCTTTGCTAAATGTTACCTTGGACATGTGGTTAATTGTAACTCTCTTTAAAAGCGTTACATATTCTAGATTATATATTACATTAAATAATATTAAAGCACGGTATATTCTAGCTAGAACTGTTACTTATTCTAAAGTAGTTTATAATAGAATTTTCCTTTACTGTCCTCTTACTGTAGGTGATAGGACATTCTTCAAAGTTACTGGTGTGGCTAAACAGAGGATTCCGTTTAGATCCAATGTGTTCAGGAGTTATTACATATATCAGCATTATAAAAGAGTGATAAAAGGAGGTATGCTTTTGTTACTCTATTTAGCTACGTACAGCCATCTTGCTTCTCCAGAAATACGCGTACCTTTTTTGACATGGTTGTCTGGATGCTATCATCACAAAAGACACATGCACTTGCTGTTAACGCTAACTTAATGTCTTTTGGAGATCAAATCACTTTATGTATGAGAAGGCAAATGTTTAAAAGTTATATAGCAGCCTACAGAGTTTGACTTTTCCTAAATATTAAATAGCAATGATTAATCACCTTCTATTTAGCAAATCTCAAGGAAAAATACCAGACAATCTGATAATTCACTGAAATACAATGATCTCAGAATAGTAGCAATAGAAAACCTTATGAAATCTTAGAGGGATAGTGAGGTGACTACTTTAAAACAGATTAAGCAGGGATACTGTGCAAACAGTGTAATCTGTTTTAGGAATTTTTTGCAGAGTAGAGACTGCCTCGCTGTTGCCATCTTTTCAAGAATTGCAGCGTACTCAAGTGAATGGCAACTTTCAGTGCTGTGTTTGATTTGAGGAAATTATTACTGGTTTTTAGCTTTTCAAATGTTCTCTTAAAAGTTTTCTGGAGAAGGCCAAGTAACTCCTTCCTGGCCCCTTCTCAAAGAACACTGCAATATTAAGAAACCTTGTATTTTATAAGAGCACATGTAACAGAATTATCTAGTGATCATCTAGGCCTGAGAAAGTAACAGGGATAAAATACTTACCTATGGCTTGAATTTTCTTTTATTTCTGTCCATTCTTTGAATAAATTCTCATGCAAATCCCAGTCAGAATCCCATGCATCTTCTTGCATTGCTATGCTGTGCTGAACTTTAGATTCCGCTTTAAGAAATAACGAGGTTTTTAAACTCTATATGTAAAATCATTGCTTAAGGAGAAAACTTTTTTTATTTTAAAGATTTTCATTGTGAAGTTGAACATTACTTACATTTAGATAGAAAAGGCAATCCTACATAACAATGGTCTCCACATTGTAAACCAGGATCAAAATAAATATTTGCAATCTGCAAAACAGTTAAGAGCACATCAATTAAGAAACAGCACAGTAAATCTAATGACCAAAGAAGAATGAAAGAAGACTTCTGATGAGCACAGAACCTTAACATATGCTGTACATAGAAAGAAATTGTAAACATGTAGAAATAATGCAGAAACAAACCTTTGATTTTTTTCCTGGCTCTAAATCTTCTTTATTACTTCTTAGCCTCTTATAATAAAATCTTATATCTTCTGACAGGGAACGTATGTGTTGTATTTTCACTTTCTGAGAAAAGGAGTTCATGATGTTCAGGCTCTGGTGAACTACTTTCCCCTAAAGAAAAGACAGGATGAAAAAGGTCTGCAGGATATGCATTTTCCCTAGCACATGTATGTATTTATGCTGCTGGCAAAGACCACAGCAGAGCTGAGATTTTGAACTATACCATCTTAAAAAAAACCCCACTTGTAACACTTCAAGGTAATTTTCTGTGAAGTTCTATTCTTTACTCCATCTGCTTCCCAACAGTTCATCCCTCTTTCAAAATTAAGTACACCTTAAGTGTCTTGAAGGGCAAGGACAACAGTTCTGCTTAATCCAATCACGTTTTAAAAGTACCAGAGAAGGAAAGGCAAGAGAAAACTTCAGTTTTCAAAAAGGAAATAAGCTTCTTGTAAGAACTCTAGTACATAGTTGCTAGCAATTAGAAATAACCTGAAAGGAACGGTAGAGTGAAGCTGCAGATTACAAACACCATAGGTGACAGCATTTAAAAACATAGGTACAACCCTCCTTCCAACTCCCCATGAAATTAAGACACCAGGCTGTAAAATTACAGCATTTAAAAAGAAAACAGTGCAAGTTTTTTCCCCACACCTTTACACCCAGCCTCTTCTTCTGAGCCAAACATTATTTTACCTTTTAAGCATAGAACATGTAGTTTAATTAGAATGTAGAGTCATTAGAATGCTCAAGCTCCCCCTCTGCACTCACTTGTAAATCAATGATTCTGTGCCACGTTTTTCACCTTATCTCAAAACCCAACCCTGACAAGTATAAACAATAAATAAATAAAACCCACAAACAAACAAAAAAAGCACAGCTCAGGACCAACTAGATACAAGACCCCAGATTTACATAACAGAAATGACTACAAGCAAATTTAAATACCCAACTCTATCTTCTAATGAACATGACCAGGGTTTTTCATGTTCCCCTTAAATCAGTAATTTCAGCTTTTAAAAAATTTCTCTGAGGTAAGGACTGAAGTGGAGAAATGGAAGAGATGCACTTTTGCAGGCTCAAAATTTGACTGTGGCCTCAGGAAAGAGTCACATACTGTAACAGTCTCAATAGTAGCAACTGCAGCAGGAAAGAAACTACAAGAATAAACCTCTAAGCAGTATAGTCCTGTTAAACTGAATAGGAGGTATATCTAAGCTTCACCTATGGAACCCTACAAGTAACAAACTGCCATCAACTGAGCAAGACAAAGGTTTGTTAAACTCTGTAGAACAAGTGAACAGTATTTTTTTTATTAAGACCCTTACGCAGCATTTAGACATGAAACAACAGATAAGGGAATAAGACTTTACCCATCAGTAAGAAGAAAAACAGAAGAATGCTATCTAGCATAGAGGTCCTCAAAGATGAGCCTTGATCAGGGAAGAGCTGAAAGGTGGTACTGTGAGCTAAAGACGCCGTTATGTAGCAGAAGTCAACACAGCTAAGACCTGTTTAAATCAACACACTGATCTTTACAAGACCTGTATACACTGTTAGTGTATTGCTGACAAATATCGACAGAATACTAATAATCAGACTTGGGTGCAAATACACTAAAATTATGAACAGACAGTACTGGGAACTGGGCAGCTGGAGGAGAATTACAGCCCAGGTATGAACTGAAAAGCAAGTGTTACTAAAATTGTAGCACCTACTTACTCCTGGATGTTAAGCTGTCAAATTTCTCTACCAAACACTGGAACAAGAAGAACTGATGCTATTTTAGGCTTATTTTCATAAGTAATGGAGGCATTACAGAACAATTAGATGCAAGAGTATCATGAATTCAATGATCACAAGTTTAGTTTGAAATGAATCCAAGAAAAAGGAAAAGTCTGCTGTCAATGTTCTCAAGTATCAAAAGAGCCAAGTGATCAACTGTCATGGTTTAACCCCAGCCGGCAACCGAGCACCACCCAGCCACTCACTCACTCCCCCCTGGTGGGATGGGGGAGAGAACTGGAAGAGTAAAAGTGAGAAAACTCATGGGTTAAGATAAAGACTGTTTAATAATGGAAATATAAAAGAGTAATAATACAAAAATAATAAAGGCATATACAGAGCAAGTGATGCACAATGCAACTACTCACCACCCACTGACTGATGCCCAGCCCATCTCCAAGCAGCTATTGCTGCCCCCCAGCCAACTCCCCCCAGTTTCGATACTGAGCATGATGCCATACGGTGTGGAATCGCCCTTCGGCCAGTTGGGGTCAGCTGTCCTGGCTGTGCCCCCTCCCAGCTTCTTCTGGACCTGGCAGAGCAGGGGAAGCTGAAAAGTCCTTGACTTCATGTAACCACTACTTAGCAACAACTAAAACATCGGTCTGTTACGAGCATTCTTCTCATACTAAATCCAAAACACAGTCCTATGCCAGCTCCTAGGAAGATTACTAACTCTACCCCAGACAAAAGCAGGACATCAACTAACAGAAGTAGTAACTGAAGCTAACTGCTCTGAAAAGCTTGGGGATTGAATGCAGAAAACAGTCTAGAATCTTGTCAAAGGTGATAATTGTATCTGAATCTATACCACCAAACAAAATGCAGGAGCCCAAAGGTCCCCTGAATGAATAATTATGTGAAAACATTACTAGAAAAGAACATGAAGCCAATAAAAATCACAGCAGTCTGGGGACAAGAAAGAATGATGACAGCAAGGAAGCTATGCCTTAGAGACTGAGAAACACAGATGCTACAAGAAGTAGTACCTGCCAAAACAAAACAAAAGCAAACAAACAAAAAAACCAAGACCTTGGGTGTATACTAAGATATACTGAGAAGCTCTTTAGCCATTCCCGTTAGAACAAAATAAAGTGGGATTAAAAAAAATTATTTCTTTATGGCCCGAAATGCAACAGAGTATTTTAACGTGGCAGTCAAGAGGGACAATCATCTTGACAGAAATTAGGATATAGAAATTAGGATACAGAATACAGAAATTGCTTTATCCTTGATGAAAGAAAGGAAAATGGACCTTTAAGTTATTAAGTTATTATCAAAGGCTTATGGAGCAGTTCATAGATGAAGTTACAGATACAATAGCCAGTGTAACAAATATCCATATAACGGTGAGGCCATCTAGTCAAATAGGAAACATAGATCCTGAAGATAAAAAATAAGAAGTAATCTTTGCAACTGTAGGCATGACTGCTTGACCTTGAGAGTAGCAAAAGACTCCAGAACAATTTGCGAAGTAGAAGATCAGAAGGGAGATGGAACAGGTAATGGGGCAAACGTAGCAATGATTTACTGAAGTCCTGCTGACTGACCTATCTTCCTCCGGTGAGACCTAGTGCGTTACTTTTTCAAAAAGTTAACATTTATCTACTAGACATGAGGTAAAGCATTTGATAAAGTGCAGTACAAAATTACTACTTAAGACTACATAAATTGTAAGATAAGCAGGAGATACTAAGGAGCTATCAGAAGAGGAGGTCAGAACAGGTGGTGCTCTACAACAAATTGAGACTATGCAGGACAGACAAGGAAACAAAAACCATTTCCACCAACTTACATGGAATTTGTTTTCTCCTTTCAGAACACTGCCATCTCTATTTCCTTTCGCTACTTCCTCCTCCCCCCTGCCTCCAGTTTTCAATCTCTCTCCCCAAGATATTCCATCATATTACAATCCCCACTCATCAGAAAGTCACATAAAGTTCAGACTTCAATGAAATACCAATTGCAAAGTCAATATGCCTTGACTGCCCCTGCGTCTATGGTTATGTTGAATGCCAGCTGAGAAGAAAGTATTATCTGGCTAATAGCTTGCTGCTTGAGTCTGTAGCCCTGAGCAAAGAAGCTGCTTTCAGTACTCACTGAATAAACACTACCGCAGGAGCAGGGATGAAAACAGCCATTACATACTTTTGCAGAGAGCTGTAGACCCACACAGCTTTCTTGCTTTCCTGTTCATGTACTCTGCCATGCACTTTCAAGAAGATCTGCTTTCAGTGTGGGAACAGTACAATAATGCTTCCACAGAGATCAAGGACTTTTTATACTAAACCGTCAGTTTATTAGTGGACTTTGTTGACTTTGGTATTACACTTCATGAATTTGAAAAATGCATTTCAGAGAATACCAAGTTGGAAGGGATCTCAAGGCCCAACCTTTCTAGGCAAATTGTTCTTTATTTAACTCCTCTCGTCAAGTGAAACAGCCCAACCTAGAGCTACACATAAAAATTAAGATGAAATCGCCCTGTAGAAGTGCTAGAGCCAGATGATGCTTCATTTCAAATCATTCCTCACCACACTGATACCCCTGCAGCTCCCCCACCCATCGTCCTCTGGCACAGGACTTCTAACTACTCACTTCTCTGCTCATTACTGATGGCTGCAACCTCATTGCAATATAAAAGGAATTTAATGTGCAATTTCATGTCTCTCTCTCTTGGTGCTAACACACATGCGTTGGTAATAACCAAGTAATCACAACTACACTAGAATGAAGCTGCAAAGAATCAGGTTTGGGATCGTATCAGCATTCCAAGATCCCAATCAAGTGAGCAGTAGAGGAGATGTAGGGATAACTCATGCTTGGGACATGTGGGGTTAAAAAAAGAAAAACAAAATAGCGACAAACTGAATCATAACAGTTTGGTAGCACAATCTCTCCAGCAATTTGACATGCAACAGCTCAAGACACTGATTTCTCTTGAAAAGGACAGATAAATAAAAAAACACAGCAAGAAAACATCTAATGCTATGATCAAACTCTCTTACCGGAAAAGAAGGTGGAAGAAAAACATGCTTTGGGGAGCAGGTCAGCGAGCCTACAGCAATCACTGCCTTCACAGGTATAGTTAAAATCTAGAAAAAAAAAAAAAAAAGAGAACAAGAAAAGTTTAGAAACAAATACTTAAATTTCAGCCTTTAAACATCTCTTCCACTTTTAAATTGCATAGAATAACAAACCCCTGAAATTCTACAATTAATGTAATCTAGGTTTATAAATACATTTCAAACATGGAAACATGAATTAAGATTTCAACACATCATCCTGTTCAGAACAGTCACTCCATACCATCAAGAAGCAAACTTTTGCTCAGTCATACTTAGCACCATTCTACATGGAACACAAAATCACACTTAAACTATAAGCTCTCCAAGGGGGCATCATACAGGTCTCACTTGAATGGGTCTTACTTTATTGGAAAACAGGAGGATAACATCTTTAAAGTAAATGAGTACGAGGGAAGACAATATACTGAACTTCTCAAAAAAACATTAGAATTCATGGTAAGACCTCAATATAGACATAGACTTAGAAAAAGGAGCATGGAAGGCATGGCAATGAGATCCTTTCTGTGTATTAAAGCTACCAATACAAGTAGAATAACTTGTAAGAACCAGCAAGAAAACAGAACTTCCGATTCTGTAACTGAAGGGTCGCATACATGTTTGGACATATTAAAAAAAACCCCAAACAAACAACCTCAAAATCTCAGATAACTGCAGAAACTAGAAATTTCTCATTTTCTGTAGCTTCATCAGAACCATACAATAAGCTATATAATTTCCCCACTTCATAAGCAGTGTGTCACATTTTTTTTTCCACATATATGACCAAAAGGTATTAAATACAGACTCCATTATGTACTAGAATATCTCTCTTCTGCAAAATAATTTATTAACAGGTATTGTGGTTTAACTAGAAAGAAAATTAACTCTATCCCAGCCCAAACCAGGACAACAGGAAAGGCATATGAAGTTGAGAATTAACTGGTTGTTCTTCTCTCCCTTACTAATCTAAGTGCAAGAACTGTGTTTCATCAAATTGCAATTTCTCCAACACAACTTTCACACTGGGTTTTGACAAAAACACCTCTGAAATTATAGCTCAATTTCAGTAATTGATGATGTACCAAAAAGCACATTGTCAGCATATGTTACGCCAAAAGATCCATGCATTGCTGTTTTGAGGATGTGTCAAGTCACTGAAGAACCCATATCTCACAGCATTAGGTCACATTTAAATGAGTATTTCCAAAAGCCAGATGAAAATCATAATGGAAGTCGTTCTTCATTCTTTCAGAGAAGACACTGCATAAATAGCATTACTGTCATTTGATGCAGGATTAACTTGCAGAGATAACTTTTCCTCCAGAGATCCCTTCCAACCTCAACTTCTCCCCAATACTGCAATCTGTCCACTAATACAGCTCTTTAAAACTTCATGCTTAAAAACCGAACGCATCATTTGGGCAACACACATGAATACACAATAAACACACCTCATAATCTGTCGTGATTTGTACAGCTCCGTCATGAATTCCTTCAAGTTCTTTTGCCATTAGTTTTACTCTAAACACAGCATAATAACCTGATGCTAGTATCACCTGTAAATGGTAGGAAAAGAGTTATCCATTGTATTCCATTAAATGGAAAGAAATGTCACTAAAAAAACCATACCCAACTTCCTCTTATTTCTTTAAACTGAATCAAAATCCATTTGAACCGTCAGTGGTAAAAAGAAAATTTCAAATACATAACTTACTAACACAAAAATTAACTACTCTTTGAGGTCAAAAATTCCATTCTTCCCAGATAAATGGTAAGCATCATCTGAGGGCATGTAGGTTACTGTTTCTGAAGCTTCCCCTTTCAAAATATAACCAATCTGAACATAATATTGCTCCTTAAAATAAATTTTAAAAATTCTACTTGCTTTATCATACTCAAATCCAGACAAAAATTAAGAATTCTCATCCTCCCTCCCCCTGCTAAAATGAAACTGCAAGAAGTTGCACAGATTTGTCTCCTTTTTTCCCCGTCCTAAATCTAGCTTTAAGCAATGGATTCAAAGGATTACTTACTGAAGACTGATCGGATGCACTAGCATTTTGTAGTTCATGGTGGTTTGCAATTATCGTTGTTCTGTTTCCCTTCTCAGTTGTTAGAAGTTCTATGGCCAAACCATCCCCTATAATATGCCAACTTTTTATAGCCAGCTTAAAAAGAACAAAAGGTACTGTTTTCAGTAACAACAGTGATGTAAATTTTTTAAAACGCAAACTAAAAATAAAACTATCCTTACCTCTATTGGATTGCTGTTGATGACTGCAAATAAAATGCTGGTAGCTTCTGTTGCACTCAATATGCCAAAATCTATAAATCGTTCCTCAGTTTTTGGAGGCAGTACAAAGTACTAGAAAGATTAATAAAAATATTTTAGCATAAGTTGAATATAAAATGTGCTCAAACTCTAAGCTCATTAACAAATGCATTAATAAGTCTAATACAGCAGTACCACACAACAATCTCAAAATTCTATATATTTTCTACGTAAAAATAAAGGGAACAAAAAAGAATTTTTCAGCAGTATCTGCAGCTGTTTAAGGAAAGAACTGGTAAAATAATTTTGAATTTAAAAAAGCTATCCTCCCATAGAAGTAGAATAAAGAACTAAAAATAGTCCTATGAAGTCTGCCTCTAATTAGACTAAAGTAGCTTAAAAAAAGGAAAATACTTACGTCTAAAAATCCTGTGTATGCTCGGACAGGTAGGTGAAATTTAGAAGCATTGGTGATTAGTAAAATATTATTATCTATATGAACAGATGATGTGGAAGGCATAAAATGAAGTGTAAAAATATATCTGGATTCATTAGGCGGAATTAAGACTGGTTTACTGAAGTTCTGGACCTAGATCAGTGAACAATGAAGATCAATGTTACAATTTAACAAAGTGCACAACACTTAAACATTTACTATTACGTAAAAACATTCACTAAAATGGGGCTTACTTTAAACATTGGTTTTGCTTCTTCTGGTAACACAACATCATGTATAAGGACTGCAAAATTGAAAATTCTAAATATCTATTAAAAGAAAACAGTATGAGAAAAATAAAGACCTTCCTCAAACATAAAGTGTTTTTCTTACACAAAAGACTAGAATTCATTCAATCCAACAGCAAAAAAGCTACATACCCCACTGAAACTATATTATTAGCACTGCTAATATTATATGCTGAAACTGTATTATTAGCACTACAGGGATATTGATAATTAAGTCATTCAAATGAAATAAGAAAATATGTGAATCAGTGTATTAGGAGGACTAAAAGGAAGTCTTGAAGTATTAAGATAGTTTGCAAATCATGCATATTCTTTATTAACCAAATCAGGTGTTGGCAGCACAAAGTTCTGATAGGTAAGGTTTAGTTTGTCTTTAAAACACTGTCGGTTCTGTTGATAAAGTAGCATCTCATTTCAACAATAATTTTAAAGTCAACCTAGCCATACTTTGCAAATAAGTAACAGAAAATAAGGAAGCACTGACAGCTCTTTCAAAATTTTGCTTAAAAACATTTTCTCTACCTTACTCCATATAGTAATAGAACAGCAAATGCAGAACTGGAAAAATTTCCAATGCTGCATTTTTAAAATTACTCACCTGCAGCCTTCAACTGCTCTGAAAAACAACTCGCTAAGGTCACTTTGAACCCAAACCTTGAAACCAGCTTACGCATTACTAAGACTACCTCATCCACACTAGTGTAAAAACAGAAAAATTCAAACAAGTAATTGTAGTTCTAAATGAGCTCCAGATTCAGAAAACTTAGGTATCATCTCTTTATAACCCCTCTCCCCCTAAAAAGGCTAAGTTCCCTGCTACATCAACTAATTTACAGCATTTAGTTTTTGAACTATGTTCAGTTACTGCAAGCTTACCCATCCAACACTTCTGCTTGATATGGTATTTCAAGTTTGGAGTAGCTCTTCTCTTTTGCTTTAACAGTTATTTTCCCAGAAGCCTGTGATGCTTTTTTTGCTTTTGATGCTGTACACAGAAGAATGTAAGAAGTTTGTTAAAGCAGACAACAAAAATGATCCATGAGGTTAGACTAGCATGAGTGGAAGAATAAAAGCACACAATAAGCCCAGAGATGAAGTATCATGGAAGAGAAAAATGGATCTTAAGGAAATTCCGATAAGCAACTGACATTATATTAAGTCCAGGAACTAAGAGACCCTAGTTCTGAACTCCTCCCCCTTAACACCAGTCAGTTCACCTGCCTGAGTTAGTAAGTTTATCTATGATATGGAAGCCTGGTTGTTCCTGTCAAATAAATAACTTGGATAGGTCCAGAGGATGATTCAGATCCCATGTGAGCTCAATTCCCCACTTAAAGAGTATGGAATACACCCATCCCTCCACTACCAGAACAGACACTTGAAATGGCTGGGCTCCTCACTTAAAACTACCAGTCAAGCAGGACTTCGGACCAGGAATGCAGCAACATTTTAATAATGAAGAAATCAAAGCCATGCTGAACTTTACAGAAACAGAAGCAGAATCCGTATGAGAATCCAAACTACACTAGCCCCAAGCACAAAGCTCACAGGCCTGCTCCAAGATCACAGAACAAGCAATGCTATCCTGCCAGAAAAGTCAAGGGATTCAAGTACTAGTTAGGAGAAACCACCAGCCTCTAAAGCCCCTACATCTATTAAGACAGCTGAAATAGCAAATATTTAGGGCTGGCTGCTTCACTGAAAAGAATTCACAAAGTCAATTCCTTGAACACATTAAGCAGCTTGACTGGGTATTTTTCCCCAACCACCGTTCCTTCCAAGATCCACCGTCAGTAGGTCCTCATATAACAGTTCCCTCTAGCTTCAAAATCTGAGCACATTACCACCTCAGGTTGACAGACTTCAGCTATTTCACAATTTATTTACAGGCTAATACACACTTCACTCATCTTACAAACCGCAAGCCATTAAATTCTGAAGTGCTAATCAATAATAACAATAATAATAAAAATCAATCCTCGCCTCTCTGTCCATACAACTTCTAAAATTATGTCTACCTGAAATGAAAAACATTGCATCTATAAACTTCCATTTCTAAGCAATCCTGGCAGAGAGACTTACAGCACCAACGGGTATCTTAAAGCAGTAATACCTGAGTAGGTCAACAGCATTCTGACAGTTGATTAAAATCTCTATAAAAATGGAGGTGCCTTTCTACAAAATGTCAGCATAATATTTAGTCACAATATGTAGAAGATAAATGACCCAGCACTTCTTTCATAAAGATATACATGAAAGTCAGTATCGGCATACATAACATCTTTGTAGGAAAGGTACCAGTAAAAGGTTTTTCCACTTTCACCTCCCTTTTTCTTTAATATGAATTCAAGATAGCAAAATAAAATAAGCCAACTTTCACAGAAAGGTTCTCAAGAGCATGACAGAGCCCTATTTCCGTGGGCATTCCAACATAAAATGTAATTATTTTTTTTTTTTAGAAATAAAATTTTGGATTCCTTTTTAAACTTTGGAAGGATCAAAGGGCAATCCAAAGGATATACTCTCCTCTAATATATATTATTGTGAGGAACATGTCCCAGTTTGTTAGGATTTCTCAAAAACAAATGCCTATATAGATTAACAATACATTTTAAATAATCTGTGTCTTAACATAAGAATCCTGCTTATGTTTAATAGAAATTTGATATTCAATTTTTATGTACACACATAGAAGATCACTTAAGAATTCCTTCTCTTCTCACCAGTATTTACCAGTCTAAGTTACTTGCTGATTATGATCAGAGTTGACCCCTTCAGAAATAACTTAAGTCAGAAGAACTGTAAGCCTTTCCCAGGTAGAAAAATTGAATTTCCTACTCAAAATTACAAATAACATTTTGTTAAGAGAGTGGAAAATAATTCATGAAGTTCCAGCAAGTTTTAAGAAGCACTTGACAAGTTCTAAGAAGAGAGGAGCAGTACTTACCATCAAAACTAATACTTGCAACTTTGGTATATTTACTTTCAGAGGCTTTTAACGTAACTGGCTTGAAATGTACTGTTATAGCTTCGTTCTGTGGTGTAGGTCTAACACTCTGCAAACAATCAAAATATGAAGCACCAGTAAATTTATCATTGTTAACAAACTGTGAAGCTTTCATGTATCCTTCAAAGTGATCCAACAGCAACTAGTTTTGGCTGGGTTCTTTCTTACAGGTCTGTCTTTCCTATAACAAAGCAGCATTATAAGAGGCTTTAGAATTTTTTTCAGGTCCTGTAAATTACTGAGCCAATATGCAGGGAAGTGGGCAATAGAGAGTTCTCCTTGTGAATGTCAGAGGAAGTGACAGTATGGGCTTCTAGAAACATGTTAATAGAACAGAAGACAAGCTTTATTTAAATGAAGATTTGTTTTTTATTCTTAATGCTGCAGGGTTACAATAGCTAGACTATTTGTTTCTGGTGCACTCATTAACAAAGCTGTTAACTGACTTGTGTAATTACTGGTGATGATACAGACATCTACCTTGTCTCTGATCCCATGCTAAGTCTGCAGAGCTGCCACAGGGGAAAAAAAAAAAAAAAAAAAAAGATTAACTGTATAGGGACTGGGTTTGCAAATCTGAAATAACGCTCATTCTATACCAACATTTTACAAGATCACCTTTTGTATCTGAGGATTACTGTTTTAAACTAAATGGAAAAGGTGAACTGGGCATTACTGGAATAGCAATTGTGTCAATTATTAGCCAGAGTTGATTTGCATAGAAATGCATTGCTACACAGCAAGACTGTCAATATCTGAAGATCTAAAGACTGCTAACAAACTTTATCTAGATTCCATGGACAGAAACTGGGCATGGAGCATTTAAATGCTCCTATTCTTGTTTTGCTTAAAATTAGGATGGCTGCCATGATTCCTCCTTCCCAGCTGTCTTCTCCTGCTGTAAGAACAGCTCAGCTGCTCATGTAGCAGCTGTTAAGCTACTGTAAATTGCTGTATTAAGGAAACTGAAATGAGTGCTGGTTTACCTTATGCTGGGCTGCAGAGGTTTAGCACCTGCTTCATAAGCAGCTGAGCCTTTCTTGGTCAGCGAGAAGCAAGGCAGACAGCTAGTGGTACAAACCAATTACAGTTCTTCCAAGCTAAACTGTCCTTGATTGTAAATTAAAGCCATAAAATCATGCATACATAACTAAGTTCTGCAGGCCATGTGATCCTTAGAGGAAACAAGCAGCACTGTTCCTGTAGCTGATGAATAACCTCTGTGGACTTAAACTATAAGTTTTGCATTTTGGATTTATAATACTGACCTTTGACAACCATCTGCATACATGTGGTGCAGATATTTGCTATTTCTCTTCAAGAGTCAATTCGTAATTATCTCAATTTTCTTCTAATAAAATCCATACTACAAAACTGAGATCTTGAGATGTCTTTAAAAAAACCTCTTAAAGCAGACAAAACCAAAGCTGTAATCAAATCCATAGCTTTTGTATGGCAGAAAGAATAACCATTTCTAGTAGCTCTTTACATGCAACAGGCTGGGTTTTTAATTATTGAGGTTTGAAATTATGCTGGTTTAATTTAGTAAATCAAGTCAGAAATATTGAAAAGGACAGCCTGTTGCCAGAAAAATGGCGTATTTCAGAGGTGTATCCCTTAAACCACAAGCATAATAAACCTAGATGTATTTACTCAAAATGTTTACAGCGAATTAATTTAGTTAAGGAAGGAATTTAGCACTGTTTTGTTGAAAATTTCTTAACTACATAATGCACATTTCTTGTTTGTTGCCTTATTACATGCTAGAAAAAGAAATACAGAATTAAGACAACTAAAGGAAAAACAAACATCCTTAAAAATTCTTTCAACTTCACTTTCCTCAAATCTTAACATATTTCAAATAAAGCCCAAGCAAAACTTGTCCTAAGATGTGCCTTAAGAATCATCAAATACGGACAGGTCATGAGAAAACATGCAAAACAAGTTCCATCAAGAATCTAATACCACTAATTTTCTCAGAAAATGTCCTGACAACAACTTCTGTGGGGAAGAAGAATTTGAAATAGATACGCTTCAGTAACACATGGCTCTCCCACGGAGTGCCCCAGTCAATATTTCTGACTCTGCTGTATGAAGATACATTCAATACTTAGCATAAGAGCAGAACTGTAAGAGCAGAAAATGAGGATATTAAATGTTCTATAGAACACAGAGGGAGGAGAACTCTTTGTGCTATCGCAGCAGTTACTGAGAAAGACTTCAAAGGTTTAAGGACTCTCAGGCTATACCTATTCTAATAAACTAAAGCGGATAAGAGTGTGGGTTGAAACACTGGCATGTGTTCATCCATACTGTTTACTCATCAGCAAGCTCCCAAGCATAGTTTTGCCTTGTCCACCTAGCATACTGCTCTAAAGCCTGAGCAGGCTGTAGACTGTTGCATGCAGACAGTAAAGACCCAGCTACCCTGCTGCAAGAGGAAAAAGTTCTGTGGCTACAAGCAGCAAACTAAGGCTGGTTCCATTAGTGTCAGAACCACCTCTGTACTGTTTTATTTGCTTTTACAGATACAATTATTTTGTCAGTAATAACTTGGCCTTCAGTTTAAACAGGGACACACCTAACTAAAGTTGTCTTTCACCATAAAGCACCATCCGCAACAGCCATGGAACAACTACTAGATTTTAATCCTTTAAATTAACTTTCTCTTGATAACTTTGAGATGTGTGCATTCAAGTGTGCAGAGTGAAAACAACGCAGAAGTAAACTACTACTTTCCAGTTCATAAAAGAAAAAAAATATAAAGTATGTGAATTGTGACAGAAGTAAGCAAATGCTTTCTTATACAAACACTTATTTTCAAACTGATAGAACTCAGCTTCAATATACAGCTGTCCTGAAGTTCCTGGTTCTTTATATATCAAATGTGATCAGGAGCTCAAATTCTGAAGTGTGTTTTGCTTTTAGCAATCAAATGGGCTTAAACTGCCTTCAGGAAATGCAAAATTTTCATTCTAGACGGGATAAAAGAAAGTGCTCAACAATTTACATTTACTATATTTTTGACAGCATGGCTTAATTGTTGCAGCATGACAACAGTTTATCCAGTCATGAAATAAACATGATTCTCCCTAATAATAGAGAAAACCCTACAAAATGTAATTAAGGAAATTTTTTATGAAGAGTTTTACAACTCAAGAAGAGAGTCAGGTGACTTGCTCATATTTTCCTGAACCAATTTGTTGGACCACAGCATGACTAAGTACCTAAAGGCAGAACAACTACAACTCTGGCGACAGTGTTAGCCGTCTCTCATACACAGATGACCTGAAGATATTTAGTTCCTCCAGCACCCAGCTTAAATATATGCTAAATATAGCCTTGGCCTTTTCTTCTGACATTAAGATGAAATTTGTCAGAGCTCTGCCTCACTGCTTTCAAACCCTAGCTCTAAAGGGTCAGAAATAATTTCTCAAGCTTTCCTAGAAGTAAGCTATTCACCAGGTTCCTTCCAAAAATTCTTTACTCTTGCTTACCACTTTGAAATTCCTTGATCAGCACAGCAGCATGAATTCATACAGTGCTTCAAATGCTAGAAAGGTTACAAACTTCATAAAGCTGTGCCTTAATGAGCAGAACAACTGACGTGATGTGCCATATGTGACACACTGAAAAATACATCATATCTGGGCCTACGTGGTAACAGTGTCATTGCAAAAGTGAATCCTAAAAGCTTTAAGACCACCAAATTTACTGTTTTGATGAACTGGAAAAGAATAATTCAGCTGGAAAAGTTCTGTCATGGCATGTATAACGGTTATCAAATGATATCCTTCCATTAGACTGCAGTCTATGGTCTACAGTCTACCGTCCAAAGACCATAGCTTAACACAAAGGGGTAGGGTTTGGTTTTTTTAATGGAGGAGTACGAATTAGGTACTACGTTATCAGACATTAGAAGAGATACTGACAGTTTGAATATATGGTTAGTTGCATTGTACTCAGGAACTTTATTACACAGTTAAAAAAAAACAAAACAAAACAAAACCATAAAAAATTGTCCCTAAGCCAAAAATGTGGCAAATCTAAGATGATGGACATGATATAACACAGCAGACATAGCTGGAAAAATAGCTGAGTACATTTACCAACACTCCGATTGCAAAAATCATACACAGGTCTTTTTTTTTTTTTTTTTTTTTTAAATAAAAACCTTCCATGGAAGCTGGTTCATATCTTACAAAGCCACAAGAGACCTTATAGGATCACCTGACCTCATTAACGTATTGGGACTTCAATGAATTACACTCTGTTTGTGCTATAGTGCAAGTTTCTCTTGACTTGAAAATTATTAGCAAACAACATAGCAAGCATTGCAATGGATTATCATGATTCTGTGATTCTATAATCTATGATCACCACAGTGGAAAGTTATCCTCATTACTAAAAATAATTCCAGTTTCTAGTTTAAATTAATCTAGCCTCAGTTTCCGGTATCTTATTTTTAAGTTTTTGTTAGACCTCTTATTAAAATACTATTTCCTACAGTTATAGCTATAAGCTTTAAAAACAAATAAATGTTCTCCAAGGGCTCAGTAAGAAACCTTTTCCAATCCTTCAGTCAATTCTTCTGGCTCCTCTGGTATCTTTTCAACACTTCAACACTTTTTGAAGTGCACTGGGACAAGGTATAGCTAAGCTACACAACTAAATCTGGAAAACAAGGAAGAAGAGCGAGAAGAATAGTGGGCAATGAGAAAAGTTACACAGGAAAAAGGTATGAATGAACAAAGGTGGACTACCAGACTAGAGCCAAAATTCTGTAATAAAAATAGAAAGTAGAAAATCCAAACCCTAGAATTCTGAAGCTGGCTGCACTTCACGTGCAGCTGCAGTGATCTCACTGGAAAGGTTTCTGGAGTGTTTGCAGGCTTTTTTCTTATTTCAAGCTACAAAGCAGATAACCTCAAGAAAACAAGGGTCATTTTACAGTCTGCTCTTCAAAGCTACTCTCTGCTCATCTTAAAAGATTATGTTGGGCAACCACTTTATACACTCCCATGGAGTGTGCGATGAGGACAAAGAATCCCACAGACTCTGCATTAATCTCCCCTTCACTGAACAGGGGTTACTGTTCTCAAGTATAAAAGCTTCCAGAGGCTCAGATATTGCAGGCACAGCCTATAAACACTGAAACAGCCCTTCAAAGAAGGCTATGAAGCAAATTAATTTTACGAAGCCTATAGCTTATTTTTCTTAAGTCACTTTTTCAGTCACACATCAGCTAGCTTCTAATTCTGAACACTATATGGTGAACCTGTGAATGATCAATTTTTATGAGAGAAAGTAAATCCAAGTAGAAAGTTTCAAATTGAAAGGAAATAAAACTTACTGTAATTGGCACATCTTTTGTTCCTGAATTTAATAAATGCAGATTTAAAATTTTTGGCAGATCTGTTAAAGAACAAAAAACACACCTGGCTATTAGGCTATTTTAACATAAAAACTTTTTACAAAGTCACCTGCACTAGCTGGTTTCTCATATAAACCCAAAGTGTTAAAAAGTTAGACTAACATGACAGTACAGCCAGTCGTAATAGCTACTCCTAAGCATTGGACAGACTTAAAAACTGCATTTTTGTGTATTAGTAGGTATAACATGCTTCAGCTAACTACTTGTATTTCTAACACATTAAGAAATGAACAGGCTAAAAATACTACAATGAATGATTTTGCCAGATGCACCAACATCCAGCAGAAACTAATCTTATTTAAAAATCTTTGCATGTTAAGTAAGTTGCAGGGAAAAGTACTTCAGAAGCTACCTTTTTTTAGGTGAAAAAAAGATATATACTGGTTTTCTTCAGTAATGAGTCCTTTTTTTCAGTTTCAAAAGATAACTTTCAGTTTTACTACTTTCTGCTATTTTTTTTTTATTTCACTAAACAATATTAAAATGTGTAAGTGGCACTTCAAAAAAAAAAAAGATTGTTAAGTAACAAATTTGATTAAGTTTGCACACTTTTGCCATTCCCTGTATCTGGAAATTATTAAAACTTATGCAAATGTACAGCAATCTTTCAAAACAAGTTCACAAATTAAGTAAACTGACAATGGTTTTCAGATTAAGCCATGCACAACTGTGTAAGGCTAATGTTATTACTAGACTTATAACTGGATGTGCAAACTACTCTTTGCTTGTACACACCTCAAGTATACTTTCAGGTGAATACATTTGTGCACTGTTGTTAACACACTGTTATCCTGCCTTTGAAACTCTGGCTTTTAGAAAGCATTATTTCACAAGAAACCCTGAACAGTACAAAGATAACTGGGCTTTCCCCCGCTACCCCTACTCCTTATAAATACTTAAGAGACCTGAAGTATAGTTTACCTTGCGTTCGTAGTGTACCAAAATCTAGCATTTCTGTTGATGAATAGATTCCTGGTGCTTTAAGAAAAAAAAAAAAAGTTACCATTTTCTTATTATACTGAACATTGACTAAGCTGAATAACTTAAAAAAACCCAAACAAAACCCAAATCAGTTTCTACAAACCTGTTGTAACTTCTACTTCAACAGGGAGAATGATAAATTCTGTGTTGTCTGAGGCATTAGTTTTTATTCTAATGAAGGCTGTATGATTATCTGCTTCTCTTGAAGAAAAGCTGGCTCTCATCACTCCTTTTGTTTCATAGGGAGGTATTTCCTGATAAATAATCAAAGCACATCTATGAGAGTGCAGTAATTATAAAAAAGCTCCCACACCAAAAAATTGCATTAAGTATAATTGTATTAAGAGAAAAAGCTGCAATAGCAGTAAGAAGTAGGCTGCATGTTATTAAAATTACCATTAAATTTCATAAGGATAGTTGTAATCATCCAATATGACACTGATTAAAAAGAGGTATATGCAAGAGAACTTCCATGTCCCATGTGATTAAGTTTCATGTGTTAAAATTGTGGTAAAAAGACAGTAGACTAAGTTGACAGAATCTACCAATAAACAAAATTATTCATAAAGTTATTAAGTGCCATAACATCAAATACTGATTTAGCATGCTCTTAATTGTTTTTTCTGCAAAGCAGACAGTTTCAGTGTCAAACATAAACTGAAATAGTGCAGAACTGCAAGTAGCCAGAAGCTTGTGGAACCGCAGGTTTATTAGTCACCAAGCAATTTGCAGCAAAAAGTCAAAATATGTTTTAGTTTCTGTACGAAGCCTATTCCATCAGTTCCAATCTTCATTCAGGGTTTGAAAGACAACTCTTTCTGTATTTACTGGACACAGCCACAGCACAAGACTAGCTTCAGAAGCACATTTGAAATAGTAACATTGCATATTCTTCCCCATCACATTACAGAAGGGCTGGGGAACTGGAATTTTCTTTTTTTTTTTTTTCTCTCTTTTTTTTTTTT